GAGGGACACAGAATTGTTACTGAGGGACACAGAATTGTTACTCAGCGACAGACACAGAATTGTTACTGAGGGACATACTGAGGGACACAGAATTGTTACTCAGGGACACAGAATTGTTACTGAGGGACACAGAATTGTTACTTAGGACAGACACAGAATTGTTACTGAGGACACAGACACAGAATTGTTACTGAGGGACACAGAATTGTTACTGAGGGACACAGAATTGTTACTCAGGGACACAGAATTGTTACTGAGGGACACAGAATTGTTACTGAGGGACACAGAATTGTTACTCAGGGACAGACACAGAATTGTTACTCAGGGACAGACACAGAATTGTTACTGAGGGACACAGAATTGTTACTGAGGGACACAGAATTGTTACAGTGAGGGACACAGAATTGTTACTCAGGGACAGGACACAGAATTGTTACTCAGGGGACACAGAATTGTTACTGAGGGACACAGAATTGTTACTGAGGGACACAGAATTGTTACTGAGGGACACAGAATTGTTACTCAGGACAGACACAGAATTGTTACTCAGGGACAGACACAGAATGTTACTGAGGGACACAGAATTGTTACTCAGGGACACAGAATTGTTACTGAGGGACACAGAATTGTTACTCAGGGACAGACACAGAATTGTTACTCAGGGAGGGACACAGAATTGTTACTGAGGGACACAGAATTGTTACTGAGGGACACAGAATTGTTACTCAGGGACACAGAATTGTTACTGAGGGACACAGAATTGTTACTGAGGGACACAGAATTGTTTACAGGGGACACAGAATTGTTACTGGGACACAGAATTGTTACTCAGGGACACAGGGACAGACACAGAATTGTTACTCAGGGACAGACACAGAATTGTTACTGAGGGACACAGAATTGTTACTGAGGGACACAGAATTGTTACTACTGAGGGACACAGAATTGTTACTAGAGGGACACAGAATTGTTACAGACACAGAATTGTTACCTGAGGGACACAGAATTGTTACTCAGGACAGACACAGAATTGTTACTCAGGGACAGACACAGAATTGTTACTAGGGACACAGAATTGTTACTGAGGGACACAGAATTGTTACTCAGGGGACAGACACAGAATTGTTACTCAGGGGACACAGAATTGTTACTCAGGGACACAGAATTGTTACTGAGGGACACAGAATTGTTACTCAGGGACACAGAATTGTTACTGAGGGACACAGAATTGTTACTGAGGGACACAGAATTGTTACTGACAGGGACACAGAATTGTTACTCAGGGACAGACACAGAATTGTTACTGAGGGACACAGAATTGTTACTGAGGGACACAGAAATTGTTACTCAGGGACACAGAATTGTTACTCAGGGACACAGAATTGTTACTCAGGGACACAGAATTGTTACTCAGGGACACAGAATTGTTACTCAGGGACACAGAATTGTTACTCAGGGACACAGAATTGTTACAGGGACACAGAATTGTTACTCAGGGACACAGAATCGTTTAATTAAAGAGTATGTCAGACACAACATGCAGAGAGTGGCAGAGGAGGCAATGTTTTTAGGAGCGAGCAGACGTGGCAGCAGAGGAAGGGGTCGAGGCAGCACTAGTCGCAGCCAGAGGCCAGTGCTCCCGGTGTCATCCAGCGGTCGTGTCTCCACCGACAACCCTGCCGTCATCGATTGGTTGGCTCGGTCGTCTTCCTCTTCCCAGGTCACCTCTGACACCTACAGCCAACGGTCGGTGGGTACGTCAGACACAACCGTTAGTTGGCATGGCCCGGGAGCAAGCCCACTGAAATCACGTGTCCTCGACCTGCCCCTGTCCTTTGGTGTTCCCCTCACCAAGCGCGAAGTATCGCATGCTGTGTGGGCTCAGCCCCACTGTACAGTGAGGAAGAGCTAACAGAGGGCGGTCAGGAACGGGGGGAGACATCCGCCTCTTCAGCAGCCAGGCGAAGAAGTAGTGGCGAGGAGAGTGGCTCGGTAGCCGGTCTAGAGACAGGTCTGTATCTGTCCTGACCCCACACGCAGCCGAGGGGGCTAGTAGTGAGGCGGAGACCCTAATTGATGATGATGAGGCTGATCGCACTTGGCAGCCTCGTCGTCATCAGGCTATTGCTTCCGCATCATCAGGAGAAGAGGGTGGCAGCTTGGCAGCGAGCAAAACAGTCGGTGGGTTGCCCAGGAGGCAGCAGGGTCGCAGCAGTGTCAGTGGAGGCAAACGGCCACGGAGTAGAGCACCAGCTCCACTGCTGCCAGCCTACCACCACGGCCAGTAGTGGTGCCGGTGTGCACGGAGGAAGCAGCAGTCAGCCAGTGAGGAGTATCGGGGGGCAAAGTTTCCTACTCGGCGGTGTGGCAATTTTTTGTCAAGCCCGCCCGAGGAAGTAAACGTAGCCGTATGTCGACTATGTGCCAGCCCAGAAAGTCAAGCGTGGCCAGGGGGCCCATGTTGGGACTACAGCGTTGCGGCAGCATATGCAGCGTCGCCATTTGGTGGCCTGGGAAAACCGTGATAAAGATACGGCGGTTTCTGCCTGCCCCAGCCCCCGCTCCATCACCGCTCCGTTACTTGCTCACCCGTCACCCGACGTCAATCGCCCTCTATCAGCCAGTCAAGGCTCCAACACCTCTGCTGAGGGGGGAGTTGTCGCTCGTTGGCATCTTCCGCTCGTTCTGATGCTCCTCTCATCTGCTACTGCTACTCCTCTTCACGGATTCCGTCAGCAGTCTTTCTTGGAATCCGTTTCCAAGAGACAACAGTTTGCGAGCACGCACCCGACGGTGCAAAAGCTGAACGTCCTCCTGTCCAAGTTGCTGGTGCTGCAGTCCCTCCCTCCCTTTCCAAGTGGTGGACTCAGCACCTTTCCAGAGAGAAATGATGGCTTGTGCCGCGCCGCGTGTGGAGAGTGCCAAGCCGTCATTTCTTCGCCAAAAAGGCAGTGCCAGCCCTGCATTCACATGTAGAAGAGATGGTAGGGGGCCAGTCTTTGAGCATGTCGGTCTCTGCCAAAGTGCACGGCAGCGCCGACGTGTGGAGCTGTAACTACGGTCAGGGACAGTACATGTCATGTCATTTACGGCCCACTGGGTGAACGTGGTGCCATCACAGCGCAGCCGCACCAGCAACTTGGACAGGTCACGCCGCTTTTGCCTCCACGTTTGCACGTCCTTGGTCCGGCAAAGATGTCCGCCTCCGCCTCCACCTCTTCTTGCCGTGTCCCTCAGCCGCCCCTCAGCCATGTGCCACCCCCAGTGCCAAAGTCCCATTACCCGACCTGGCATATCACATGTGCAGGGCGCAACGGTGTCACGCTGTGCTGCACCTGGTATGCCTTTGCGCGAACGTAGTCACACAGGGGAGGAACTTCTGAGTGTAATGAACAGAGAAATCGACAGATGGCTGTCTCCGCGCAAACTGAAAATCGGAACCATGTTGACCGACAACGGAAAGAACATGGTGTCTGCTCTGCGTCAAGGAAGGTTGTGCCATGCGCCATGCATGGCTCACGTGTTCAATCTGGTTGTCAAGCGGTTCCTAAAATCCACCATCCCACTGCAAGACACATCCTTAAAATGTCACGTAAACTTTGCATGCATTTCAGCCATTCCTACACCGCAAAGCACACCCTCCTTGAGCTGCAGCGGCAGAACGGAATTCCACACAGCATCGCCTGATCTGCGACGTTGCAACAAGGTGGAATTCAACCCTACACATGTTAGACCGCCTTTACGAACAGCGAAAGGCCATCACCGATTTCCTGATGTTACAAGCGGATAAAGGTACTCCCCTGTGTAACTTCGATGTCAGCCATTGGCAGCTCATGCGTGACACCTGCCGCTTGCTCAGGCCCTTTGAGGAGGCCACGCTATTCGTGAGTCGGCAGGACTATGGGATGAACGACGTCATTCCTCTGTTGCACGTCCTGGAACAAATGCTGTTAACAATGGCTGGTCAGGGTGCGGTAGACGTGGCGCACAGATCTCAACGCCACATGACCCCTGTGGGGGCAGGACAGGGAAGAAGAGGAGGAGGTAGAGGAGGACATTGGTGCTCAGGAATTATTGAGTGAAATGGGTGGTGGTTTTTCCACTCAGCGGACAGGAGTGGAGGAGCAGGAGCATCTGGTAGGGAGAGGAGGAGGAGAGGAGACAGAGGACCCAGACGCACCGTGGCAGTATGCTGTGTGGAGATGGAGGCAGGGAGTCCCTCGCATTCCTTGGCACAAATGGCCCATAGCATGCTCGGTTGCTTGCTTGCGTAGCGACAGCCGAATAATAACCATCAGACAGAGGGATGACTTTTGGCTGTCCACCTTGTTGGACCCTCGCTACCCGTTCAAAAATGGTGGCCTTTTTTCACACCTGCTGAGAGGGAGGCCAAAATAACGTACTATAAAAACCACCTATGTAGTCAGTTGGTCTCTGCCTTTCTGCGCCAACGTCCATCCTCAGACACTGTGGGCCCTGTGCGCTCGCGTTCCGCTGCCATGGCAGGCAGCAGGGGAGGGGTGGGGTGGTAGGAGCAGTGGCAGCTCCACCAGCAGCGGCTGCCTCAGTCTGCAGTCGATGATGAGTAGCTTTTCTTCACCAGCGCAGTGAGGAAAAACTACTAACCAGCCCGCAGCAGCAGCAGCATCAGGTGGACCTGGAGCAGGACCTCAAACAACAGGCTTGGGCCTACTTGGACAGCACCCTGCCAACCGAGGTAGACAATCCCCTTGACTACTGGGCAACGAAACTTGACCTTTGGCCCCAACTAGCTGAATTTGCCCTTGAAAGGCTGTCATGCCCGGCCAGTAGCGTGGCATCGGGAGCGCGTGTTTAGTGCGGCAGGAGGTATTGTAACTCCGCGGAGGACACGACTGTCCACCCAAAGTGTGGAGAGACTCACGTTTGTGAAAATGAATCAGGCGTGGATTAGTCTGGATTTCAAACCACCAGTTCCTGACACAACTGACTAAATCCGCCATGAATCATGCCCCAAACATGTGCCACTTTCAGGTCTCCTCACACTGCTGGTGTGTTCCATTTTTTGTCATAGGGTGCTGGCAGATTACGGGCCTCCCATAGCTGCTGCCAGGCCCCTAATCTGCCATGGGCCCCCTGTACCGCCTCCTCATGCTGCTGCCAGGTCCAGAGTCTCTCATGGGTCCCTGTACGGCCTCCCATTGCTGCTGTCTCCATCGCCACACTCTGCCATGTGCCACTTTCAGGTCTCCTCACACACTGCTGGTGTGTTCCATTTTTTGTCATAGGGTGCTGGCAGATTACGGGCCTCCCATAGCTGCTGCCAGGCCCCTAATCTGCCATGGGCCCCCTATACCGCCTCCTCATGCTGCTGCCAGGTCCAGAGTCTCTCATGGGTCCCTGTACGGCCTCCCATTCCCATTGCTGCTGTCTCCATCGCCACACTCTGCCATGTGCCACTTTCAGGTCTCCTCACACACTGCTGGTGTGTTCCATTTTTTGTCATAGGGTGCTGGCAGATTACGGGCCTCTCCATAGCTGCTGCCAGGCCCCTAATCTGCCATGGGCCCCTGTATACCGCGCCATCCTCATGCTGCGCCTCCTCATGCTGTCCCAGGCCTCCCATGGTCCATCAGTGTCTCATGCCATGTGCCACTTTCAGGTCTCCTCACACTGCTGGGTGTGTTCCATTTTTTGTCATAGGGTGCTGGCAGATTACGGGCCTCCCCATAGCTGCTGCCAGGCCCCTAATCTGCCATGGGCCCCTGGCCCGCCTCCTCATGCCTGCCTAGGTCAGTCTGCTGCCAGGTCCACGGCCTCCCATTGCTCATGCCATGTGCCACTCTGCCATGTGCCACTTTCAGGTCTCCTCACACTGCTGGTGTGTTCCATTTTTTGTCATAGGGGTGCTGGCAGATTACGGGCCTCCCATAGCTGCTGCCAGGCCCCTAATCTGCCATGGGCCCCTGTACCGCCTCCTCATGCTGCTGCCAGGTCCAGAGTCTCTCATGGGTCCCTGTACGGCCTCCCATTTGCTGCTGTCTCCATCGCCACACTCTGCCATGTGCCACTTTCAGGTCTCCTCACACACTGCTGGTGTGTTCCATTTTTTGTCATAGGGTGCTGGCAGATTACGGGGCCTCCCATAGCTGCTGCCAGGCCCCTAATCTGCCATGGGCCCCTGTACCGCCTCCTCATGCTGCTGCCAGGTCCACAGCTGTGTCCTCGCCACATGCCATGTGCCACTTTCAGGTCTCCTCACACTGCTGGGTGTGTTCCATTTTTTGTCATAGGGTGCTGGCAGATTACGGGCCTCCCATAGCTGCTGCCAGGCCCCTAATCTGCCATGGGCCCCTATACCGCCTCCTCATGCTGCTGCCAGGTCCAGAGTCTCTCATGGGTCCCTGTACGGCCTCCCATTGCTGCTGTCTCCATCGCCACACACTCTGCCATGTGCCACTTTCAGGTCTCCTCACACTGCTGGTGTGTTCCATTTTTTGTCATAGGGTGCTGGCAGATTACGGGCCTCCCATAGCTGCTGCCAGGCCCCTAATCTGCCATGGGCCCCTATACCGCCTCCTCATGCTGCTGCCAGGTCTCAGAGTCTCTCATGGGTCCCATGGTCCACATTGCTGCTGTCTCATCGCCCACTCTGCCATGTGCCACTTTCAGGTCTCCTCACACTGCTGGTGTGTTCCATTTTTTGTCATAGGGTGCTGGCAGATTACGGGCCTCCCATAGCTGCTGCCAGGGCCCCTAATCTGCCATGGGCCCCTGTACCGCCTCCTCATGCTGCTGCTCCAGGTCCAGAGTGTCTCATGGGTCCCTGTACGGCCTCCCATTGCTGCTGTCTCCATCGCCACACTCTGCCATGTGCCACTTTCAGGTCTCCTCACACTGCTGGTGTGTTCCATTTTTTGTCATAGGGTGCTGGCAGATTACGGGCCTCCCATAGCTGCTGCTGCCAGCCCCGTAATCTGCCATGGGCCCCTGTATACACCGCCTCCTCATGCTGCTGCCAGGTCCAGAGTCTCTCATGGGTCCCTGTACGGCCTCCCATTGCTGCTGTCTCCATCGCCACACTCTGCCATGTGCCACTTTCAGGTCTCCTCACACACTGCTGGTGTGTTCCATTTTTTGTCATAGGGTGCTGGCAGATTACGGGCCTCCCATAGCTGCTGCCAGGCCCCTAATCTGCCATGGGCCCCTGTACCGCCTCCTCATGCTGCTGCCAGGTCCTCCTCATGGGTCCCTGTGCTGCCATTTGCTGCTGTCTCACATGCCACACTCTGCCATGTGCCACTTTCAGGTCTCCTCACACTGCTGGTGTGTTTCATTTTTTTTGTCATAGGGTGCTGGCAGATTACGGGCCTCCCATAGCTGCTGCCAGGCCCCTAATCTGCCATGGGCCCCTGTATACCGCCTCCTCATGCTGCTGCCAGGTCCAGAGTCTCTCATGGGTCCCTGTACGGCCTCCCATTGCTGCTGTCTCCATCGCCACACTCTGCCATGTGCCACTTTCAGGTCTCCTCACACTGCGTGTGTGTTCCATTTTTTGTCATAGGGGTGCTGGCAGATTACGGGCCTCCCATGCTGCTGCTGCCAGGCCCCTAATCTGCCATGGGCCCCTATACCGCCTCCTCATGCTGCTGCCAGGTCCAGAGTCTCTCATGGGTCCCTGTACGGCCTCCCATTGCTGCTGTCTCCATCGCCACACTCTGCCATGTGCCACTTTCAGATCTCCTCACACTGCTGGTGTGTTATCCATTTTTTGTCATAGGGTGCTGGCAGATTACGGGCCTCCCATTGCTGCTGCCAGGCCCGTAATCTGCCATGGGCCCCCGTACCGACTCCTCCTCATGCTGTGACGTTGCAACAAGGTGGAATTCAACCCTACATATGTTAGACCCGCCTTTACGAACAGCGAAAGGCCATCACAGATTTCCTGATGTTACAAGCGGATAAAGGTACTCCCTGTGTAACTTAGATGTCAGCCATTGGCAGCTCATGCGTGACACCTGCGCTTGCTCAGGCCCTTTGAGGAGGCCACGCTATTCGTGAGTCGGCAGGACTATGGGATGAACGACGTCATTCCTCTGTTGCACGTCCTGGAACAAATGCTGTTAACAATGGCTGGTCAGGGTGCGGTAGACGTGGCGCACAGATCTCAACGCCACATGACCCCTGTGGGGGCAGGACAGGAAGAAGAGGAGGAGGTAGAGGAGGACATTGGTGCTCAGGAATTATTGAGTGAAATGGGTGGTTTTTCCACTCAGCGGACAGGAGTGGAGGAGCAGGAGCATCTGGTAGAGGAGGAGGAGGAGGAGACAGAGGACCCAGACGCACCGTGGCAGTATGCTGTGGAGATGGAGGCAGGGAGTCCCTCGCATTCCTTGGCACAAATGGCCCATAGCATGCTCGGTTGCTTGCTTGCGTAGCGACAGCCGAATAATAATAACCATCAGACAGAGGGATGACTTTTGGCTGTCCACCTTGTTGGACCCTCGCTACCGTTCAAAAATGGTGGCCTTTTTCACACCTGCTGAGAGGGAGGCCAAAATAACGTACTATAAAAACCACCTATGTAGTCAGCTGGTCTCTGCCTTTCTGCGCCAACGTCCATCCTCAGACACTGTGGGCCCTGTGCGCTCGCGTTCCGCTGCCATGGCAGCAGGGGAGGGGTGGGGTGGTAGGAGCAGTGGCAGCTCCACCAGCAGCGGCTGCCTCAGTCTGCAGTCGATGATGAGTAGCTTTCTTCACCAGCGCAGTGAGGAAACTACTAACCAGCCGCAGCAGCAGCAGCATCAGGTGGACCTGGAGCAGGACCTCAAACAACAGGCTTAGGCCTACTTGGACAGCACCCTGCCAACCGAGGTAGACAATCCCCTTGACTACTGGGCAACGAAACTTGACCTTTGGCCCCAACTAGCTGAATTTGCCCTTGAAAGGCTGTCATGCCCGGCCAGTAGCGTGGCATCGGAGCGCGTGTTTTAGTGCGGCAGGAGGTATTGTAACTCCGCGGAGGACACGACTGTCCACCCAAAGTGTGGAGAGACTCACGTTTGTGAAAATGAATCAGGCGTGGATTAGTCTGGATTTCAAACCAACAGTTCCTGACACAACTGACTAAATCCGCCATGAATCATGCCCCAAACATGTGCCACTTTCAGGTCTCCTCACACTGCTGGTGTGTTCCATTTTTTTTTGTCATAGGGTGCTGGCAGATTACGGGCCTCCCATTGCTGCTGCCAGGCCCGTAATCTGCCATGGGCCCCTGTACCGCCTCCTCATAGCTGCTGCCAGGTCCAGAGTCTCTCATGGGTCCCTGTACGGCCAATCCCATTGCTGCTGTCTCCATCGCCACACTCTGCCATGTGCCACTTTCAGGTCTCCTCACACTGCTGGTGTGTTACATTTTTTGTCATAGGGTGCTGGCAGATTACGGGCCTCCCATTGCTGCTGCCAGGCCCCTAATCTGCCATGGGCCCCTGTATACCGCCTCCTCATGCTGCTGCCAGGTCCAGAGTCTCTCATGGGTCCCTGTACGGCCTCCCATTGCTGCTGTCTCCATCGCCACACTCTGCCATGTGCCACTTTCAGGTCTCCTCACACACTGCTGGTGTGGTTCCATTTTTTGTCATAGGGTGCTGGCAGATTACGGGCCTCCCATAGCTGCTGCCAGGCCCCTAATCTGCCATGGGCCCCTGTACCGCCTCCTCATGCTGCTGCCAGGCCAGAGTCTCTCATGGGTTGTCCCTGTACGGCCATATTCCCCATTGCTGCTGTCTCCATCGCCACACTCTACCATGTGCCACTTTCAGGTCTCCTCACACACTGCTGGTGTGTTCCATTTCCGTTTCCATAGGTGCTGGCAGATTACGGGCCTCCCATTGCTGCGCGCCGGCCCCTAATCTGCCATGAACCCCCTCCTGTCCAATGCTGCTGCCAGGGCCCGTAATCTGTCATGGCCCCTGTTGTACCGCTTGTTCATATTCGCCTCGTTCAGATACCTTCTCCTGCTACTCCTCTATCACGGCAGCATCTTTCCGTCAGCAGTGTTTCTTGGAATCCGTTTCCAAGAGACAACAGTGCTGCGAGCACGCACCCGACTCTGTCAGAAGCTGAACGTCCTTCTGTCCTCATGCTGCTGCCAGGTCCAATCTGTCATGGTCCCTGTACCGGCCTCCTCATGCTGCTGCCAGGCCAGAGTAGTGTGTCATGGGCCCCCGTACCGACTCCTCATGCTGCTGCCAGGCCCGTAATCTGTCATGGGCCCCTGTACCGCCTCCTCATGCTGCTGCCAGGTCCAGAGTGTGTCATGGTCCCTGTACGGCCTCCCATTGCTGCTGTCTCCATCGCCACACTCTGTGCCATGTGCCACTTTCAGGTCTCCTCACACTGCTGGTGGTTTCCATTTTTGTCATAGTGTGCTGTATGGCCTCCCATTGCTGCTGCCCTCCACCGCCACACTGTGGCTCCACACTCTGGTTTTGGCCCCGTGACTGCCCAAATGAGTGAAGTGTGCGGTGATTCTAAGATCGACGGCACTCATCTGCATGTCATACTGACTGTCAGTATTATTTCTCTTCCCCAGCAGACTCCAAGGGCATTTAAATTAAAGGTACAGTGTTCTGCACTAATATAAAGGCTCTCTCTGAAGCCTAGAAACACCCTTTTATAAGTTAAATTCGCAGCGAATATATTCGACTTGAATCAAAATTTTTTCACGAATTCGCCGAATCAGTCGAATCGAATTTTTGAATAATTCGCTCATCTCTAGTGGCAATGATAAAACAGTGAACAGTTAATACATTAAAAAATAACATTAGTTTTTTTTCGGTACCTTCAATTGCGGCACTGGCTACTCTTGCTGAGGGCCACTTCTGCTTTCCCATATCAGAAATCTGCCTTTGAACGGCTTTGCCAGCAGCGCCCAGGTGCCCCAGGCCTTATCTCCCTTCTTTACGCAGCTTTGAACAGACGTTCGTCGCACACTTCTCTTTCATATGTTGTTCAGTGGGAAAGCGACCTGTGAGTGGCTGTGGATCCGGAGGACTGGAATAAGGCCTGGTCACTCATAGCTAAATGTTCATTTAATACGACCACGCTGGAAGCAGCCTACAAGTATTGTTTCGTTGGTACTGGGTTCCGGTTCGTCTCGCCCAGGCTAACCCTGCCTGTAGTTATCGATGTTTTCGGGTTGTGGCCATCGTGGCGATGTACTGCATATCTGGTGGTCATGCCCGAGGTTGATTCGTTTTTGGTCTCGTGTGTTTGTCCTCCTTTTCACTTTGTTCCATCTCTCCATACGCCGGGATGCTCGGTATGCTTTGCTTCATTGCCCCATACCGGGCCTCTTGGCTCGTCAGCAGCGGTTGGCTTCCTATTTGTTTTTTATCGGCCACTAGGACAATTTCTCAGGCCTGGAAGAGTCCGTTTGTACTTTTTCAGGGGGTGCGGGATCGTATGACTACTATGATGCTCAACGAACAGATGTCAAG